ACCCTGTGTGGTGGGGTTAGGGGATTAGTGGACAGGCCCCCTGTGTGGTGGGGTCAGTGGATGGACACCCTGTGTGGTGGGGGTTAGGGGTTCGCTGTTAGGACAGTCACCCTGTGTGGTGAGAGGTTAAGGGCTTGCTGCATGGGCAGCCCATGTGGTGGGAGGTTAAGAGCAGGACCGACAGGACAGGGTTTCTCTCACCAGCTCTCTTTGTCTGGGCCTGGCTGGGAGAGTGACATGTGACACACCCCAGTCCTGTCCCGTTGACCACAGGGCCTTCTACCTGGGAAAGGCCCATGAAGTGTTTCCCCTCTCTGTGCACAGAGCAGGGGGCTCCCCAGAACACACTCCGACCCTGAACACAGCACACATGATCACTGAGCCTCTGTGTGGGGCACACGGGGCTGGGGGCACGGAGGCTGGGGTGTGGGGTCCTCAGGGTGGTCTTCTTCCTCCCAGGGCTGAGAAGGGCATGGGGTCAGAGCCAGCTCACTTGGTCCCACAGAGCACAGTGATCCCGAGGCCCCTTAGCCAAGCCTCAGGGACTGGAACAGGGTCAGTGTGCTGGGCGGCCTGGGCTCCCTTCTCCCCGATGGCCTGACCCCCGTGGCCCCCGAAGTGTTGCCTTCTCCTTCGTAGACTCCGCTCTGGTCACGTGTATGGCCCTGCTGCCTGCCCTGGTGGCGCATGGACAACTAACTGGGTGTGAGTCCCCTGCGCCCGGGCCTGCAGTAGCGGGCCCGCCCACCTGCCTCCCTGAAGGAGGAAGGTAGCAGTAGCCTCCCTGTATCTCCCGTCTGGGCTTTGCCCCTGATGTGCACTGGGGAGCTCCCTCCGTAATCTTGGGGACCATCAGGGGTCACACCCTGCTCACAGAAGGTTAGGGGTGAGCAGTGCCTCCTGCAGCTTCTTGTCCCGTGTCTGTTGATGACAGGTGGAGTCACGGGGACAGAGCTCCACAGTGTGTCCGGTAACACCACCTGGGCGACAGGCCCCTCCCCTAGACAGGCCCCTCCCCTAGACGGGCCCCTCCCTTGGACAGACCCGTCCCCTGGACAGTCCCCACCCCTGGACAGCCCCCTCCCCTGAACAGACCCTTCCCCACGACAGGCCCTTCCCCATGACAGGCCCCTCACCTGCACAGGCCCCCCTCCTCCGGATGGGCACCTTCCCTGGACAGGTGACAATACACAGCAACCTGTAGGAGAATGGCCCCGGGCAGGTCCACGAGCTGCCCACCTTTCAAAGAGAGAACTCTTTATTTCAGTGTGTCTACTGCATTCTCACTCTCGTAAAGGTCGTTGGATAGATTTTCCCCTCCCTCCGCAGCGCCTGCGGGCGGTGTGGGGCATTTCTATTCGCCCTCCGTCGGCCAGCACGCAGACTAAATTAGATTCTGAAATTGAGTGTGCTCCGCCAGCCCGGGACGGCCGGCCCTGCTCCTCACCTCGTGCCGCGGGGTCAGGATAATATGAAGCCAAGTGGATTAAAAATAAAACCACAGGTATTTATTTATGACCTGCTTGGAATTGGATTGGCACCCGTGTAAGTTGCATCTAATGGTGAAAGACAACAGATTGGTGCTGATGTGTCCCTGGGGACGACGGCTCCGTGGATTCCATTTAAGGCCCACAGAGTGTCCAGAATGCGAGAGGAAGTGGGATTGGGGGCGGGGGGAAGCAAACGACCCAGAGACAATAAAGTAGCAATTAGCGTCACCTCCCCATGGGTCACCTCACATGGTGTGACTGGGGAGTGTGTCTGAGGACATCTGGAAGGACACCAGCCAGCTGAGGGTCAGATATCAGGACGGGCAGTGGCCAGTGGCTAGGACACCAGCCTGCTAGGAGGTGAAAGGAAGGGCGGGTAGGGGGTGCCTGGACCCCACTTGGCTGAGAAGTGGTAGGAAGGATGGGAGGGGTGCCCGGACACTGGGTGGCACTGACAGGTGGTGTCTTCACATGTCTGAGCTATCTTCAACCCAGGGGGCACCTTGTCCCCACCCCCAGAAGGTGTGGAGGGTGTGCTGTGTCCTGCAGACCTGGGTCCAGGGGAACACCCTGTCTTCCAACTCCCCCCCCCCCCCTCATCTGAGAAGAGTCCTGCAGGCCTGGGATGGTCCAGCTGTGTCCTGATCCCAGCCCAGAGGGAGAGGCAGCTGTCTGGTCCACATATAGGGGTAAGCCTGGGAAGAGCAAGGTCCAAGGCCAGGGTCAGCTCCCCGCCCCGTGCACCTCCTGCCCTCACTGGAGTGGTCAGGTAAGCAGTGTCCTGGCTGGGCCCCACCTCCCTCTGGACATCCACAGGGGCAGAGAATTGGGCAGCTGCTCCCCTCCTCTCCTGGAGCCCCTGTCGTCCTCCTGTTAGGGGGATGGACAGTGGCCAGTATGTGGGCAGCACAGCCCCTTGAGGTCTTGAGTCTCCTCAGCACCCCTGTTCCAGGTCCAGTTTCTGTGATCTCCAACCTGGGTGGAAGTCAGTTGGGGAGGGAGGCCCATGGCCAGGTTCTGCGCAGTAGGCACTGAGACCTCACCACACCCTCACTGTCCAGAATGAAGCCAGTGAAGGGCCAGCATCCGCACATCATGACCGTCCTCCCATGGGGCAGGGGTGGAGAAGGGCCTCATGCCATGTCCTGTCCCCAGTGGGGCAGAGTGGGGAAGGACGTGGGGGCTGGGGCCAGGCCTCGAGTGCCTGCCCTGCTGGGTGGATGTGTCAGTCCTGTTGGCTCTGGGGCCCCGCGTTGGGGAGGAGGGCAGGCTGGTCTCATGGGGTCGGGGCTACAAGTGGGGTCTGTGCTCTGTACAGCATTGAAGATGGGGCTATTCTGGTCCACGTGGGGGAGGTGGTGGTGGGGTTGGTGTGCCGTCGGGTCGGGATTGACCTCCGGCTGACCCTTGAGCAGGTTTTTAGAGGCATTAAATCACTCAAGAGATTGCCCATCCTTCAACCATGGAGCAGCTGGTAGAGTTGAACCGTGTACCTCTGGGTTGCCAGGATTCCTTGCCATTGAGCCACCAGAGCTCTCTAGGGTCACAGTTGGGGTGTGGCTGAGTGTTGGTAGACTGTATTGGGGTTGGCTTTGCTGAGGTTGGAGGCTGGGCCCCCAGTTTATTCTGTCTGGAGTGACCTCAGAGTCAGTGTCCTGGCTGGTGCGTGTCTCGGGGTCTTCCCCACCCCCACCAGGCCTGTCTGGTTTGTTCCCTGACTGGTACATGCCCAAGGGGTCCCCTAGACCCTTCTGGTCTAATTCCCTGATGGGACCACCCTCAAAATCCATCAGACCCCCTTCAGTCCAGCTTCCTGGCCAGTCCATGCCCTTGGGGTCTTCCAGGGCTCCCTTTAGCCCCATGACCGTATGTCCACCCTGCCCCCCACCCCGATCCATCTCCCTGATAAGTACTGCCCTTGAGGCTTCCCAGAGCCCCCTCCAGCATAGAACCCTGGCTAGTGACCCCCCAGGCCCTCCAGGCTCCCTCTGATGCGCCCCCCTGGCTGTCATGTCCTTCTGGTCAGTTCCCCATCTGGTGTAGCCCCCTGTCTCCCTCTGGTTGGTCCTCTGGCTGCTACAGCCCCCCCCCCCCCCGGCCTTGGATGCAGCTCCCTGACCAATACGTCCTCCTGGCACCTCTGGTCTGTCCCCCATTTGGTGCAGCCCCTGGAAACCATTTACTCTGTCCCCTGTCCACCTCCTGCCACCCTGACGGCCTCTGCTCTGTCCCCTGTTCCCCAGGCCCCCTCTGCTCTGTCCCCTGTCCACCCCCTGCCCCCCAGGTCCCCTCTGCTCTGTCCCCTGTCCACTCCCTGCCCCTCTGACGGCCTCTCTCGCCAACAGGAGCTGCTGCTTTTCCTCCAGAACCTGCCCACAGCCACCTGGGACGACGAGGATGTCAGCGTGCTGCTGGCCGAGGCCTACCGCCTCAAGTTCGCCTTTGCAGGTGCCCCCAACCACTACAAGAAGTGAGCCGCTGCAGCCCTACCCCCACCGGGCTCCCGAGCGCGTCCACAGGCCGAGCCGGCCTCCTGGGCTGCCCCGAGGGGCGTGCGGAGTGGGCACCAGGCCAGCGGAGGCCGGCGGGGACGGGCCACACTGCTGTTCAGGATACCAAAGAGATGGGCCGGAGCCTCCCTCCGCCTGCCTGGCTGCCCTTGCCAAATCGCCGGACACCTGCCGGCCGCCAGGGGCCAAGGCAGAGTGCTGGAGAGGGCCTCAGACGCCTCCGCCACAGAGGTCCTGCCCCTGTGTGACAGAATAAAGGTCCACCAAACTCGGAGTGGCGCGTCGTCTCGCTGTGGGGTCTCGGAGCACCTGGCCTTAACTGCTGACCACGTGCTGACCGCACTCAGTCTCACCCTTCCGTGACCACGGGCCACACGTCCACCCTTCCCAGTTCATGGGCAGCTTCCATCCCGGGTGTGGTGGGTGCTGCCCCCAGTGGAGACATGAGGAACGGCTGGCCTGAAGAAAGGACCCACCAGTCCCACCGCCACAGTCCACCTGGGACGTGAGTGTCCCACATAACTGTGTCGGACTCAGATAATCTCAGAGAAATCCTTTCCCTCTGATGTCAGCATCCCCTTTGTTACCAAAGCACATGGTATCAACCAAAAATTCAGAGCAGGAAATAATTTGGGATTAGCCGGGCTCATTCATCAGTGGGGCCTTGGAGAGGGGAGCCCTGGACACAGGCGGAGAGCTGGGCCTGGGGCAGCATGGACGCTGCAGAGAAAGCCGCCCTGTCTGGTGCTTCCACCACATCACCACCAGGAGGAGCTGGCCCCCTGCCCTTGCCCTGTCCACCCTCTGACCCCTGTGGGCTGAAGGCTGAGTAAGGATGCTTGCTGGCCCTGCCCCCAGAGGCGGTCCTTCTAGACAGGAAGGACTTGCTGGGAACATGAGCTCAGTGTGTGTGCAGACAGGCGGATCCCGGTCCATGCAGGCTGACACGGTGACCAGCCCCCTCTGCTTCCAGCACGCTGACCGCAGAAGTAAGAGACCCCAGGCTCGCCCCTGACGCCTAGACTATCAGGAGGTATCTTGCCCGAGCCAGCCTTCCCTGGGCGGCCTTTGCTAGAGCGGGGTGGGCAGCCTGACTGCCGAACCCTGGCTGGTGATTGGGAGCTGGGCATCGGTCAGACGCCAGGCCATGTTTGGGCCTCGTCCCTACGTCACCCCTGACACTGAGGGTGCACTCACACATGGATACCCTCCCCCACGGCACAGCCTCCGAGGAGGCCCTCAGCAGTGGATGGCTGCAGAGGGCACAGTCACAGGCTGTGTGTCCACGCAGGAGTGGCCCGTCCTTTTGAGCCGTGTGGACAGAGCTGATCATGACGTGGGAGGAAACCTTCTAACTCGGCTCGATGGGTTTAATATCGAGGCAGAGTCCACACAGGTGAGAGTAGGAATGGGTGGGTGTTTAGAGTGTGGTGAGCCCCCCAAACAAAACACCAGTGGGCAACACACTGTGGAAGAGTGGACGGTGCACAGTGCGTGAGCCGCACACACAGGCTGCTGTGACCATGGAAACCCCAAATTTCAACAAACAAGCAAAGAGGGTGTATGTGTGACTCGCGCGCGAGGAGCCTAAATTCTTTAACATGTAAAGAGCTCTTAAACGTCAACAAAAATTAGCACAGGAAACAGTTCCTAACAAGGGGGCTGTTTTCTGTGTGAGGAGTGGCATGGTGTGAGGAAACACTGGCTCCTCACTCTCCACATCTGGAAAATGGGCAGAATAGTTCCTACCTGAGAGGTGGTGTGAGTGGGAGATGAATTAATCCACAGTTGCCAGGACTGCCTGGGAAATACGACGTGTTAGAGAAACAGAATTTACAGAGATGTGCCTTGTGTGCTGGTGAGGCAGAAGCATCCCACCACCGACCCTCCAGAAGGTTCTCAGAATCAACCAGTCACATGGGAGGAGATTGCCCATCTTTCTCCCATGGGGCGTCTGATGATTTGAACCATGTGCCTTTGGGATTGCAGCGCAGCTTCTTATCACGTTAATGTGTGCCGACGGGTGGAAGGATGAGTTCTGTAAGGTTGGTTTGTAGTACTTTAGTACTAAGCATACACAGATGCCCTACGAAGCAGTGGTCTAGCCGCAGCACGCGGTGAGCCCTTGGATCAGAGGGGAGCAGCTGTGCAGGGTTTTTTGGGATGCTGTCTATGGGATACCGTTGACCCCTCGTACAGAGGAATTCGGTGTGTCAATTAAAAGTGACAGTGGGCGTCTGTTGTCAAACCCAAACCCAGCCTGTGACTGAGTTGACTCCAGCCCTGCCGGGGCTGTTCCTGGGCACAGGCTGCCTCTTTCTCTGGGGGCAGTTGATGGGTTTCAACTCTAGACCCTGCAGGTGGTCTATCTTTGCCCTGTGGGCTCCTTATGTCCGTTGCCTCGCTCGCTCCTTGCTGGGGGAGCTGACTCCTCGCTGGCCTCAAGCAGCTTTGCAGAGGCTGTAAATCCCAGGGGAGGAGACTGTCCGTCCTGCTGGAGCAGCTGGTGGGTTTGAGCAACATGCCGCGCTGGGCTTGACAGAGCAGCTCACGTTAGCTTACGGCCCACGGCATCAGAGTGTCCCGGTTGGCATTAGGGACACGCATGAGTGTGTGTGGAGACGAGGCTTGCTCTGTGTCTGACACCCCAGTGACCAGGGTGAACCAGTCTCCCCAGTGTGAGGCCCCCCACACGAGGCCAGGCCAGGCCCTGACCTCCTCCACCTGACAGATGCTGCTGAGGCCCAGTCGCCTCTGACGTGGTGACCCCACACGTGACAGCAGCACTGCCCGCTCCTGCCCCACCTTCCTGGTGGCTGTCCGCTGGGGCCTTTTTTGGCCACTGTGTATTGTGAGTGTCTCCTGCCTCACTATCGGGCAGTGTTCAGTGTGACCCATCAGGTCTGCCTCACCTTAGTTTTCAGGACAAGCGCCTGCCGGGCGATTTGCAGCCTCTAAGAGCCCACTGGAGGGTCAGCTGTGAGTGGGTTCTGACTCGGTGGCTGGAGAGAGACGAGAATTTTCCTGCGTAGCCTGGCTTAGTCTGGAAGCCTGCCCACCATGGGGATGCTGCTGGCATTGAGAATGCCAGTGATGTCACTTCCAGGCTCACAGTAATGTCGAAGCACCACAGTCCATGCAGCAGACTGGTAGGTGGATGGGAAGTGACTACAGGTAAAGGTACAGATGCAGGGAGGAGCCCTGAAAGGAGCTGAAAAGACCTGGCAGGTGGTGTGCCTCTGTAAACCACTACAGCCTGGAAACCCAGAGAAGCTGCCACACGGCCATATATATGGGCACCGTCACTCAGAATGAACCCAGTGACATGCAGCGACAGCCCGGACAGGCACACGGGACAGGGAAGTGGAGTGAGCTCCTCGGTGGCGGTTTGCCCAGTTCTTTGGGAAAATGACCAGAGATTTTAAAACCCAACCCCAGGAGTTCCTTTTGTCCCCCTAGAGGGCCTTGTCCAGGTGGACTGACACTTCCTGGGAAGCTGTGGACTGTTTGTGGTTGGATGCTTCTTTGTCTGCAGTCTAGGCTCTGATTAGTCTGTTTCTCACACCTTAGCAGAAATGGAGATATATATATATATTAAACTATGCAAATCAGGTGACTGTAGGTTACTATGCAAATTGTCTTTTGCCTGCTGAGAGGAGATTGGCCAGTTTATTGCCCTGCTGGGAGGGCCATGCCTTGACATCTCCATGGAATTTTGTCCATGCTGCTGCCAGTCCCACGGAGGTTTCAGAAGGAAGAAAAAGGAGGAAAAGCCAGAAGGTTAAGAGAAGGGGAAGGGAGGGGAGGAAGTGGGACAGTTGGCACAGGGGTGGGTGTGACCCTGAGGACAGTGGACGAGGCCCTGGCCCAGTGCTGCAGCTGGGACCTGCTGCCTGGGGTGCAGTGTGGAGAGCTGAGCAGAGTAGCTGCAGTTCCAGGAGCTGGGTCAGCGGAGGACAGGCCTGTCCCGAGGGACAGAGTGGAGAGAAAGCCTGTCCTCGGGGTCCAAGAGGTGCATTTGGCGGAGAGGCAGCTTGCTGCCGTGAGGAGGGCCGACCTGCACCAGAGATGTGCCTGTGGGCTTCCTGATCATGGGGTGTACTTCCTTTACGAGGCACTTAGCTGTGTCCGCTCGCGAGTTCCATGTGATCACTGCAGCAGCGGGTTATCCAACCCAGTGAAGATGTGGAGATGATGTGACAGACAGCTGGCCTCAGGATGGTAACTCCTAGGTGAACATGACACACTTTTCCCAGCGGTTTGTCCAGAGTTGCATGGAGTCCGCAAGAAGGGATGGGAGTTCCTGGGACTCCACAGCTTCACCAGCCCCTTGGCATCACGTCTGTGCGGGTGCGCGTGGAGGGAAGGGTGCTGGTCATCTGTTCACTCCGGGGAGCAGCGTGCGTCTGTCCTTCTCCTCGTTTATTTGTGCTTTGAATGGAAGTTTATAAGGCCATTTTCCCCACTCGATTACATTTTGCTTTATGGCATTGATCACAGTCCGCACGTCGTAACAACCTCATTGTGAACCTATTTTGGATACAGACCTTTCTGCCGTATGTGTTGCATGCAACCTCCCATTCTGTGTCTCGGGTTTTCACTCTTTTAACGGGTATTTTGAAAAGAAGGTTTGCGATCTTAATACACTTCAGTTTGTCTTGGCTCTGCTTTTGTGTCCTGTTTAAGAACGTTCTCTGACCGAGTCGTGACAGTCGTTCTCCTGTCTCCAGAGCCCGTGTGCATAGTGGGTAAGTGTTTGACCAGTATGAACCCACTCAGAGCTTCTCAGGACAAAGGCCTGCCATCTGCCCCCCTGAAGGTCCCAGCTGGGGGGCCCTGTGGGCAGTTCCACTCTGTCCGAGCCACAGCCACCTTGCAGGCTCCCACCAGGGGCTTTCTTGTGGTTCCTTTCACAAAGCCTTTGTCACATTTACACATGTCACCTTGGTTTTTGGAGTGCTTAA